GGCGCAGCCTTCAGTGTCTTAATGCAAGCCTGGCGGTTGGCGGGGCCCTGCTCCTAGCCTTTCCAGCACCGATATGCTGCCTGATCTCCTCGGTTTTCGTGTCTCTTAGAAGCTTTCTGCTTGGTTTTGGGGTTCTAGCCCCTACCCCCTGGCAGCTCAGGAATCGGCCACCGCTGGAAGTGCAACTGCGCACACACCGTCCACCTCACTTTTCTGCTTTTCCCTCTGCTTTAGCATCATGGTCCCTTGAGCCCGAGCTCCCATTTGCTTTCCCCACCCAAGGAGGCCCCTGAAAGGCCCAGGGCTGTTTTCTGTCCTGCCTAAGGGGAAAGGGCTCTTCTCAGCACACGTCTCCTTCTCTCCAAGATCTCGGCCCCCGAAGTCCTGGCTGCTCTAATTCCTCCCCAGTGCTTCCAGCCACTGGTTAATTTTTTCCCTTTGTATTTGATTCAGCTTACATAGTTCATGCCAGGCAGCACCCAGTTTTTGCTTTTTATTTTTTTATTTTATTTTTATTTTTTTGAGACAGAGTCTCACTTTGTTGTCCAGGCTAGAGTGAGTGCCGTGGCGTCAGCCTAGCTCACAGCAACCTCAAACTCCTGGGCTCAAGCGATCCTACTGCCTCAGCCTCCCAAGTAGCTGGGACTACAGGCATGTGCCACCATGCCCGGCTAATTTTTTACATATATATATCAGTTGGCCAATTAATTTCTTTCTATTTATAGTAGAGACAGGGTCTTGCTCTTGCTCAGGCTGGTTTTGAACTCCTGACCTCAAGCAATCCGCCCGCCTTGGCCTCCCAGAGAGCTAGGATTACAGGCGTGAGCCACCGTGCCCGGCCAGTTTTTGCTTTTTAAAGAGATGGTGTCTCGCTGGGCATGGTGGCTCCCACCTGTAATCCCAGCTACTCTGGAGGCTGAGGCAGGAGGATCGCTTGAGCCCAGGAGTAGTTGGAGGCTGTCCAGCCTGGGTGACAGAGCAAGTTCTCCATTTCTTAAAAAAGAAAAACAGAGAGATGAGGTCTCACTCTATTGCCCAGGCTGGATTCGAACTCTTGGCCTCAAGGATCCTACTACCTCAGTCTCTCAAATAGCTGAGGTTGTAGGTATGTGTCACTGTACCAGGCTATCACTCAGTTCTTTAACTTGCTTTTTTTGTTAGCTTGCTTAGAGGTTTATCTTGCAGAGCTTTTCCCTTCCTTTTACAAAGAGCCTCTTCATTCTTCCTCACATACACGCAGGTCTTTTACGGGTGGGCCGTCATTGTCAACTGGATGGTTTCCAGCGTGTGGCTCCTTCAAACAGTCAGAAATTATACATGTGAGGTTTTTCACTTGCGTGTGTATCTAGAGATATCTCAAGAGTGTCACTGCCAAGTCTTTGTTGCCAATGAACACTTGTCACTTTTCGAGCTGTCACCTGATTGCCCTCCCACCAGGTCACCCTCCTCTGTGCCAGGTCTGAGAAGGGCAAGCTGATTTTAGTCCAGCGGCCTAGAGGCCATGGCCAGACCGAGACCCTGGGGAAGGGACAGGGCTCTCCCCTTCCACGCTGGCCCCTGCGCCAGAATCCAGGTCACACCTGTGGTCTCTCTCAGGACACATTTGACATCCGGATCCTGATGGCCAAGTCTGTCAAGTACACAGTGAACTTCTTAGAAGCCAAAGAAGGAGATTTGCACAGGTACCGGCACCCGCGCCCCGTCCTGGGCCCAGCTCGGGCCGAAGGTCAAGGCCACCACTGGCTCCCACGGGTGTCCTGCCGTCCGAGGGCAGGAGGGCAGGGGCCCCAGGCCTCTGCACTGGGTCCCCCTCTTCTGTCCCAGCAGCCGCTGCCCTTTGCCTTCCAGGATAGAAATCCCATTCAAATTCCACATGCTGCATTCAGGGCTGGTCCACGGCCTGGCTTTCTGGTTTGACGTTGCTTTCATCGGCTCCATGTGAGTGCAGCAGAGCGGCCGCGCTCTCCCAGGGGCTCCCGCCACTGTGACCCGGGCTGGGCTGGGGGTTGGGAGCGTGGGGTGGGACTCTTCTCAGCTCCACTGTCCCTTCCGAAAGAGGGTGAGAGCTTGTCTTTGAGCAAGAGACTGTTGTGGGTGGGGCGTGTGTGTGTCTGCCCTGTTCTGAGTACTGTCCCTTGCGGGCCCTTGTCTCTCAGCATGATGTGTCAGGGTGAGTCGGCGCCTCGTGGCTGCAGACTCCCAGTGCACACGTGCATGTGCATGTGTGTGCCTGGGGCTCAGCCTGTCTCAGCTCCAAGGCCCCAGGGGGACCCATCACAGCGGGGCGGGCACCTGGGGAGAACTCAAGGAATACGGGGTGGTGGGTGGCCCAAGTGGGGGCACTGGCCCAGTCAAGTGCATGCCTGTCCCTGCTTCACAGAATGACAGTGTGGTTGTCCACGGCCCCAACGGAGCCCCTGACCCACTGGTACCAGGTCCGGTGCCTGTTCCAGTCACCACTGTTCGCCAAGGCCGGGGACACGCTCTCAGGGACATGTCTGCTTATTGCCAACAAAAGGTGAGAGCTGTTGCCGGGGCCTGGGGGAGGCAGGTCCATCCGCCCACTGGCTCATGCCACCTCCCTGCCCTCTCCACAGACAGAGCTATGACATCAGTATTGTGGCCCAGGTAGACCAGACAGGCTCCAAATCCAGTAACCTCCTGGATCTGAAGAACCCCTTCTTCAGGTAGGAGGGGCCCTCGGCCCATTGGGGGGGGCCGCCCCCGCTGGCCTGCCCTGGCCACGGTCTGTCTCTGCCGCAGATACACAGGCACGACGCCCTCGCCCCCACCTGGCTCCCACTACACGTCCCCCTCCGAGAACATGTGGAACACGGGCAGCACCTACAACCTCAGCAGCGGAATGGCCGTGGCTGGTGAGTCAGCCCCGCCCAGGCGCCGGCCCACACCAGGCTGGGCACAGCCAGCAGCCCTTGGTGGTAGGCCTGGGCCCTCCCCTGCCCTGGGGTGTGCCTCTGGCACCCCCACGCCGGACACTGACCTCTCCCCCGTGCAGGGATGCCGACCGCCTACGACCTGAGCAGTGTCATCGCCGGCGGCTCCAGCGTGGGCCACAACAACCTGATTCCTTTAGGTGAGTGGCCCCCAGGGGGGAGCGGGGGTGTCCAGGGCTGCTCTGGGGCTGGGAGGGGCCGGTGGCTGGCCAGGTCGGCCTGTGTTTGGTCCCTTCACCTCTTGCTCTTCCTCGGGGCTCTCGGCTGAGGCCCCATCCTCTCTGCCTCGCTCTGCTGCCTACGCCCGTGGGCCGGGTGGCTGGGGGCGGTGACGCCGTCTCCCTTCCTTCCTTCCTCCCTCTCGCTGCGCAGCCAACACGGGGATTGTCAATCACACCCACTCCCGGATGGGCTCCATAATGAGCACGGGGATTGTCCAAGGTAACGGCGGGTGGCAGGGGTGGGGCCCTCGGGGGTCCAAGCTAGTGTGTGTCGCTGTCCGTCCGTCTGGGCGCCAGCCTGCCCTGTGCCTGCCCTCTGTCTCTCTGTCTCTGACTCTGCCGGGTGCTGGGCGGGCCGGGAACAGCGCTGGCCCCTCAGTGCCAATGCCCCCCACCCCGCAGGGTCCTCTGGCGCCCAGGGCAGCGGCGGCGGCTCCAGCTCGCACTATGCAGTCAACAGCCAGTTCACCATGGGCGGCCCTGCCATCTCCATGGCCTCACCCATGTCCATCCCGACCAACACCATGCACTACGGGAGCTAGGGGCCCGCCCCGCGGACTGACAGCACCAGGAAACCAAATGACGCCCCCGCCCACCCTGCCCCTGGGCGGCTTCCCCCTTGTACTGGAGGAGCCCGAACACCTGGTCACAGCCCTCTTTGCTATGGGAACTGGACACTTTTTTACACGACGTTGCCGCCATCCCCACCCAACCCCACACCCCGGCCCTGAGCGCGTGTCGCTGCCATATTTTACACAAGATCATGTCGTGGGAGTCCTCGGCCCCGCCTCCTGCCCTCTCCACCCTGCCCTGGGTTTGACAGCTGCTGTCACAGGCGTGCCGGGGCCTGCCAGCTGTGCCAGGGTGGCGGGGTCGGGAGGGCAGGGGAGCAGCTGCCCTGCGCGTCCCTCGGCACCTGCCCCTGGCCGGGCTCCAGAGGGAAGGTGGCCCGGCCGGGCGGGGCCTCCCCTTCAGCGACCAGGCCTTGGTCACAATGGGCGTGACATGCTGCTTTTTTTAATTTTATTTTTTTACGAAAAGAACCAGTGTCAATCCACAGACCCTCCGAGAAGCCAGGCCGGCCGGGCCGAGCCAGCAGCCCCTCCCCCAGACTCGGAGGCCAGTGGCGAGGGCGGCCGCCGAGGCCCTCCCCACCCAGGGTTCACCTCACACTTGAATGTACGACCCGCCCCACTGTCGGGAAGGCCTCCGTCCTCGGCCCCTGCCTCTTGCTGCTGTCCTGTCCCTGAGCCCCTGCAGGTCCCCTGCACCCCACACCCAGAGCTAGAACCGGTGGCCGCAGGCCCCGGGCCTGGAGGGAAGGTCACCGTCGGCCGCTTGGGGCAGACACAGACACACCTCAAGGATCTGTCGTGGAAGGCGTCCTCCTCCCTCGTAGCTAACGTCAGGCCTGTGTATCCCCCTCCGTATGCGTAGACGCTCCAGTCCCTACTACTACGATGGCATTTGGGCCCTGCCCCAGACTGGGAAGGGACCTTGCAGGGACCTCTCCCTTTAAAAAAAGAAAAAGAAAGAAAGAAAGAAAGAAAAAAGACGAAATAAACAGCCGACGAAACGTGTGTTTCAGCACAGGCAGTTTTCTTCTCCTTCTGCTCCCCCGTTTCTAACACCCCAACCCAGAGCTGGAGCTCGGCCAGGCGCGGCCCCAGGCGCGACGGCACGCGGCTGGGCTGCCCCCGCTGCCTCCGAGTCGATCACGGCAGGGAAAGCAGGAGGCCCGCGGGCGGCCGGCGGCCCGGCCCTGCTCCGGCAGAAGCGCCTGCTCAGCTGCCTCCCCGCCTTTATATAAATTCTCTGAATCACCTTTGCATAGAAAATAAACGTGTTTGCTTTGTAAGAAAAGTCTGGAGAGTAGCAGAGTGGTCTCGAGGTGTCAAGGGAGCCTTCAGTCATCGTTGGGGTGTGGCTGACAGACATGTCCCCTGAGGTTTTGTCTGGAAAAGAGAAAGTCCCAGTAGCAGCCCCAGGATGTATCACCTTGGAGGGCAGGGATGTCACAGCTGGAAGCGGCTCCTTACCTGCAGGACCGGGCCTTCTTAGGAGGTGGCCCTGGACTGCGGCAGGGTGGGTGGCAGTGGTGCGCTTGAGGGCAGAGCTGAAACGTGGGGCACAGGTGCCGGGTGCTCCGGAGGCAGCGACTGGAAGAAGTACAACTGGACGAGCCCCCCAGGGTCAGCAGCAGAGCCGGCCCAGCCCCCACCCCGCACCACAGCCCGCAGCCCCGCCTGAGACAGCCTAGACACGCACCTTACAGCCCAGGGCCAGGAGAGCGTGGAGCAGCACAACGGTGGACAGCAGCGCCGCAGCCACCAGCCTGGTGTCCTCGCGGACGACGGGCCAGAGGGTGAACACCAGCCCAGCGGTTGACAGGGCCAGGGCCAGCGCCCCAAAAAGCCACTGCAGCCATGGCACGGGAATGAGCCACAGGACCTGGGGAGGACACGGGCAGCTGTGACCACACTGAGTGACCCCCATGGCACCCAGCACCCACTCCCCGCTGGGCCACACTCACCACCATGGGAATGAAGACGAAGAGGGAGTAGCCGTAGATGCTCACAGTCTCCAGGAAGGTGTAGGGCCCCATGCGCTCCCGGACGCCCTTGCGCCACCACAGGAAGCCCCACAGCGCCAGCGGTACCAGCCAGGCGTAGCAGTAGATGGTGATGCCAGCCACGGTCACTGGGGGCAAGGCAGGCAGTCACCCCCTGTCCCTGGGAACCCCCAGCTCCTCCAGCCCTGCCCGGTGCTGGGCCTGCCTGCTTACCTTTGTGGAACTGGGGGCTATAGTGGATGGAGGGGTCCCTCCTCTGGGCCAGCACCAGTGTCAGGTTGCCGGTGACAGCCAGGACGAAGGCCAGCGTGGCGCAGATCCAGAAGGGGCCTGGGGAGAGGAGGAGCCACTGAGGCTCCCAGGCCCAGGACTCCCAGGACAGTCGGACGTGTCCCATCTCTCCTGTGCTGGGACCACACCCTCTAACCAAGCCACCCACCCTATTCACTAGGTCACTGGTGACCTCCTGGTGGCCAAATCCAGTGCCCGCTCTCCATTCATCATCCCCCTTGCGGAAACCCACAGAACGTGCGTTCAGGGTCGCATGCTCTTGGCCTTCGTCTCACCTCGCTGATGGCCATCCCTCCACCCCTCTGACCTCCCCCTCCACTCCCCAACTCCTCCCCATGTGTGTGCTCACTCCTGGCGCGCCCTCCAACCCTGGGGCCTCTGCCCTGAACTGCAGGCTCATGTTCAAGTTCCCACAGGGCGTCTCCGACTCCACCCTCCACGCTAGCTCTCTCAGAAGTAGCAACTCTAACCTTCTAGCAATCCTGGCAGAAATCCCACAGCCATCCTTGTCTCCTCCCCTCCTGGCCGTGTCTACACAGCAAACCGGTCCCTCCGTGAATCCAGCCACCCAGAGCCTGCCCCTGCCATGGCCACCTCTACCCCATCTCCTGGCTTCTGCCCTTGAACCCCACAGTGGCCAGAGGGACCCTGAGAACATATAACTGAGATCCCTTCTCACCACAGCGTGGGAGGCCCATGCAATCTGTCCCCTCACCGCTGCGAGCTGCCAGCAGCAGCTCACTCCGCTCCAGCGACACACCCACCCTTCAGTTCAGGCACATTCCCGCCACAGAGCTTATGCACTTTCTGGAACCCTCTTCCCCTAGATCTCCCCCGCCTCTCCCCATGCCAACAAGGCTCATTCCCTTGCCATCCTCAGGGAGGCCCGCCCTGAAGCTCCTGTGCGGGACAGCGAGGCCGTGCACCCTGTGAACTGCTGTGCTGCTCTCTGGCCCCGCCGCCACCTCTGCAGTCCGTCTCCATCTCCCTGAGCAGAAGGTAAGTCTCCTGGTCTCTGCGACTCACTGATTTGTTCTCAGCTCAACACTGGGGCCGGGCACTCAACCCACATTTGTAAAGTGAATAATCCACTGAACCGAATGCACAACCTCACTCACCATACAGATCCGGCCGATTCCGCAGATGGTGCCGGACAAAGTTGTGGCCAGGCCGGGGCAGCAGCGAGCCTTTGATCCGGTCCAAGACCTGGGGGACAAGCCTGGGGTATAGGACGGGGCCTCCCATCCACGTTCCATGTGCATGTCTGCTCATTCCACTCCTTCCTCTCCTGCTCCAAACCCTTCCCTGACTCCCCATCAGCCTCAGGATAAAACCCAAACCCCAGCTCCTTATCATGGCTAGCAAGGCCCTTTGTGATCTGGCTTCTGCCTGCCTGTCGCCCACCTCATGCTCTCCAGCCAGATCCAGCGCCAGGCAGCTTCTCGGATGTTGCACATGCTTCCTCTTACCTTTGGCCTTCTGCATATGCTGTTCCCTGTACCTGGAACATATTTTTGCTTCCCCTATTCTGCCCAGGGAAACCTTCCTTCACTTTAGAGCTCAGCAAATTCCTCACCTCCTCCAGGAGGCCTTTCCCTGAGCCACCAGATGGTGTCTGTCCCCTATTTTCCCACAGCCCTGGACACACCATAACCCTTAGTTATGGTCCCTTCTAACCACCTGGGTGGGAGCCTTTTTATCCCATGTAGCCATGCCCAGGTGAATGGTGGCTGAACCCCATGCGAGACTCCAAGCCCCATCCTGCCTGATTCCGAGGCCTGACCTGTGAGGTGTCCACGTCAAAGAAGCTTTGATAGTAGCCAAAGGTCCAGAATCCAGGCTGTGGCTTCTGCTGCTCCTGTAGGAGCTGAACAGCATGGGCTTTCAGTGCCTGCCCCGACAGCCTGGGTCAGCTGGGGGCTGGACAGAGGCAAGGCAGGGGGACTTAAGTGACTCACCGCTGCCTTGTCACTGTCCTCCTCCACCTCGTCCTCGGCTCCAAAGCCGCCACCTGAGCCCACAGCCACAGCCACGTGCCCCTTTGGGGTCAGCTGATCACTTCTGCTCGTGGTGGCTGCATCTGGGGTCTCAGCCAGAAGATTAGTGGCTTCTTCGAATTCTATGGAGAGGGAATACGGAACACAGGCATGTTGTGGGGGTGGAAACAGTTTGGCCTGGCCCACTGCGCATCTGGTGGGCTTCTGTGACAATTTCAGTGTTCTCCCAGGCAGGGCCCAACGTCCTCAGTTTGTGAGAATGGAGAGGAGGTCTATTCCCTTTCCCTAACATGGGACTGCAATTTAGGTCCTGGTTTGGAGTCAAGGTCTGGAGACTAGAGGCTCAGGTTTGAGGTCTGAGTTCTGATGAGAGCGGGGTTCGAGTTAGGGATGGGTGTCTCTCCCAGGGGGTCAGGGTTCACGGCTCACTGGGGTTCGGGTTAGAGGAGTTGGAAGCTGCATAGAAGGTTCTGGCGAGGGGCGGAAGTAGGAGTTCTGGCCACCTCCGGGCTGCACTCACCGTGGAAGGTCAGCTCGTCGGCCGCTGCCATGGTCGCTCAGGGGCGTCACCGCATCCCCCTCTCTTGAGAACAGAGGCCGAGCGGGCCCGCGCCCCTTCGGGAGCCTATCAGTCAGCCCTGAGCCCCACCTGGCGGCTAACTGCGCTCACGGGGGCTCGCGCTGGCCGCCCGGCTCCACAGGTGTACTCCGCCCCCCTCACCTGAGTCCACCTGAGCCGGCGCGGCTGGGGCTCTCTACGCCTGCGCGGCCCGCCCACAAGCCAGATGAGACCCCTCTTGGACAGGACAGCAACATCCGGCGCCGTTCCGTGTTCTACTCTCTTCCGATGGGAAGCCACTTCCGGTAACGTCAGCGCGTGCGCAAAAGGCTCCGGGGCCTTTTACTTCGGGTGTCTAGAGTTCCTTTTCGGAAGACGGACCTCAAAGCGGATGGCGGCGGCCGCTCTGAAGAGACTTTGGTCCCGAGGCCGCGTAGAGGCGGGCGACGCGGCGGCGGCGAAACCGGGCGTGTGGGCTCGGCTGGGTGAGTAGCAGCGGGAGGCGGAGGGATGGGCGGATGCAGGGGCGGGCCGCTCTCACCGCGCTTCTCTCCCCTCAGGCGTCTGGGCCCGCGCGCTGCTCCGGGACTACGCCGAGGCCTGCGGGGACGCGGCGGCCGCCGCTCGGGCCCGGCCGGGGCGCGCGGCGGTGTATGTGGGGCTGCTGGGCGGCGCGGCGGCCTGCTGCGCGCTGGCGCCGGGTGAGGCCGCCTTCGAGGAGGCGTTGCTCGACGCGTCGGGGACCCTCCTGCTGCTGGCGCCGGCCACGCGCAACCGCGACTCGGAAGCCTACGTGCAGCGGCTGCTCTGGCTGCGCGGCCGCGGCTGCCTGCGCCACGTGAACCTGGGGCTCTGCTCGCTCGTGTACGAGGCGCCCTTTGACGCCCAGGCCAGCCTCTATCAGGCCCGCTGCCGCTACCTGCAGCCCCGCTGGACCGACTTCCCGGGCCAGATCTTGGATGTGGGTTTCGTGGGTCGCTGGTGGGTGCTCGGGGCCCGGATGCGCGACTGCGACATCAACGACGAAGAGTTCCTACACCTGCCGGCACACTTGCGCGTCGTCGGGCCCCACCAGCTGCACTCGGAGACCAACGAGCGGCTCTTCGATGAGAAGTACAAGCCCGTCGTGCTCACTGATGATCAGGTGGACCAAGCTCTGTGGGAGGAACAGGTCTTGCAAAAGGAGAAGAAGGACAGGCTCGCCCTGAGCCAGGCCGACTCGCTGGTGCAATCGGAGGTCCCGAAATGAGTTCGGGGCTCCGAGCCTGGCAGACCGTTTGCCCGGGACTGTGCAATTGGTGTGAGTGAGCCTCACATGCAGAGTCACTGAGATAAGTTATGTGTAGAGTGGCGTTTCACTAGGCTTTTACAAGTTTGGGAAGCCTTTCTCCCTTTCTCTTTGTTCCTTGTTAGCTGAAGTTAATTCAGAGCCTTCTTGGTTTAGGAGTGGGGGAGAGCAGAGCGACTTGACCTTGTAATGTTTATCACTGCCAGAGCTAGTAATGAGCCTTTTACATAATCCTTTTGTTTTTTTCATGTGGCCTCACAGTCCTCATGACATTGGTCAGGTGACTCCCAAATTCTCCCACGACCTTTCAGATTTTTTAAAAATTTGAACTGAAATGGTTTTATTCTATGATCTAGTCTGTTTTTTATTTTTATATGCAACAATTTTTCCCAGACATGGTGGCAACAGGATGAGACCCTATCTCTAAAAAAATTAAGTTAGCTGGGTGTGGTGGCATGCACCTGTAGTCTCAGCTACTCTAGAGGCTGAAGCAGGAGGATCGCTTGAGGCCAGGCTTTCAAGACCCAGCTGGGCAACGTAGGGAGACCCTGTTTCAAAAAAACAAAATAAGTAACATCAAGACATGTTGTGTGCCCTTCACCCAACTTCCCCCAAATGGTAACACCTTAAATAACAAATACTAAAGTAGGGAATTGACATTGGTGTGACTATTTGGATGTTATGGGGAAATTTTTTGCAAAAACAACCTGGTTTTACTGTATCTATTGACAGTGATTGAAAGTGGTTTGGAAGGATAAAGAATTTTCTGATCTGTAAATCTATATGGAATCATGGATTCTGTGTATGTTATACTTCAGTAAACCTAAAACACAGAATTCTATGAAAAGGAATAAGCTACTGTATGTGGTTGGTACTTAAATGGGTAATGGTAGTCATACATTTGAAAGATAAAGTATTAAGGGAATGAAACTACCTCTGTCACTTCAGTGGCCTGTGGCTAGTTAATAAAACCAGGAGATGAAACAACCACTTTTGTTGTGATGTTTGTGTGTTTTGCCATTTTTAAGCTTTGGCACTTGGACCTTCCATTCATAATATGAATGCATTGAACACATGTTAATTCTTATACTCTTATTTGTGGAGCAGGAGAGTATCTTATAAGTCATCTCCATTTTACAGAGGAAAAACTGAGAGTCAGAAAGTTTGTTATTTTATCCAAGGCTGTGGCAAACCCAAGATTCAAACTCTGTAACTCCCAACCCTGTGACTTAATCCTCAATCTGGTGGAATTATCTTTAATCCTAATATCTTGCCAGAAGTTATTAAATACTGCTGTCACTTGCCATAAGTAAAAATTAAATGTAGAAATAGACACATAAAAATAAATGCAATGAAAACAAAAGACAAATGATAGTAAATTCTAATCCTACCTGCCAAAGTCTCTATGTAAATGCTGCCCCCACTGTTAGGGGAATACTAGCCAACTTCAAGCAAGGGCTTAAGACACACTGGCTTCAAACTGGGACTTACTGCTGGCTGTGATGAGAAGTATTGAAAGAGGAGCCACGTGTTCATTGTATGGAGTGCAGTGGCATGATCATTGCTCACTGCAGCTTCAATCTCCTGGGCTCAGCAATCCTCCTGCCTCAGCCTCCAAGTAGCTGGGACTTTGAGTCAGTAATTAAATGCCACTTGTGACTTACAGCCAGGGTGTATTTTCCACACAAATTCTCTGAAGCTGCCGGAGCTGTGAAGTTGAGAGGCTGTTGGTAGGAATTGTGGCTTCGCTTTGGTCAGGCCTTTCCCTGAGGAGAGTCCTACTGTATTTTGCCCCTTGCCTACCAGTTCCAGCCTCCTGTGTCTATTGTAAGGCAAGAGGACGGAAGCTGTGGGATGGGGCAGGGCACTGGGTGGACCTGGTGCTGCACATCTTGGGGTACCGACTTCCTGTTCAGTGCTGAGCTCCCAGCGCCCCACAGTGCTCATCCCAGTGTGGGCATCAGCAAAGTTAGAGTTGACAGATCCTGCGTGTGTACATTGTGGCTGGGAGCTGGGGTGGTCTCACTGGAGAAGGGAAGTGGCCCTGCACTCCTGTAAGGACAATAGGATCTCGGGGAGAAACGGGCTTTTCAAAAGGGTTTGGAGCTCAGCTTTTACACTGTCTAGCTTTGTGAGTGAAGTGGCTTCTCCGTGTCTCAGGTTTCTTCTCTGTAGTTAGGGTTGTTAGAAAAACTAGAAACCACACTATAACACCCGGCTCATAGCAGGCATTCCCAGTCCGTGGCGTAGCTGTATGGGGAAGAGTATGGCTCTGAATCCACACTGTGGCCTTCCCACTTTCCCAGTGTACTGCGGAAGGGCCACTGCCCCCTGCCTACTGGCGCGGGGGCCACCATGTGGGTAGGACTCAGGAAATGGTAGGGCCAAGGCGTGCTTGTCTCTCTGGGCCACAAGACACTTGGATCTAATATGAACACTTTCAAGTTTTCCCTTCTCACACACACGCAAAATATATATGTTATTCTTGATTGGCTTTAATCCTTTCTGCTTTCAGTCCTGTCCAGGAGTCACCCGCCTGTCCAGGGTCCTAAAGGGGGGAAAGTATCTTTCCCGCTGCTGTGATTAGGAAGGCCAGCAGAGGGCACCAGAGACTCAATTTCGAGAACGAGGCTGCCTTCTCCCTAACCTTACTTAGCCCCCACGGGAATGGGCTAGCCTCAGGATCCTTTTGCCCGGGTCCAGCAGTGGGCAGAAGTCGTGCATTGCCACATGCATCCCTTTCCCACGCTTTAGAACTGGTCCAATGATGGCAGAAGTTGGGGCTGCTGGGAGGGGCCACGTCCATCCCTAGAACCTGCGCCTTTACCTAGTCAGCTAGCAGAGGAGGCTGTGAGTGGCTCTGTTTGGATGGGCAGTGCCCTCTTCTGAGCTCACACCTCCAGGAACTCTCTTTATTTATTTATTTATTTTTATATTTATTTATTTATTTTGAGACAGAGTCTCACTTTGTTGCTTAGGCTAGAGGGAGTGCCATGGCGTCAGCCTAGCTCACAGCAACCTCAATCTACTGGGCTCAAGCGATCCTCCTGCCTCAGCCTCCCGAGTAGCTGGGACTACAGGCATGCGCCACCATGCCCAGCTAATTTTTTGTATATATATTTTTAGTTGGTTAATTAATTTCTTTCTGTTTTTAGTAGAGACGGGGTCTCGCTCAGGCTGGTTTTGAACTCCACACCTTGAGCAACCGGCTCGCCTCGGCCTCCCAGAGTGCTAGGATTACAGGCATGAGCCACCGCACCTGGCCTGAGGAACTCTCCTTCTTGGAGTTATGGGAAGAGCAGGATCACCCAGTTTTGCTTGAACCCAGGAATTTGAGGCTGCAGTGAGCTATGATGATGCCACTGTCTCTTTAAGAGAAAAGAACGACCAGGCCGCCATTGTCATGGCTGGATGAGAGCCTTGGCACTGCCAGGTTTTCCTATAACCCTCAGGCACTGAGATATCATGCCAGTAATTAAAGGAAATCCTTCTAAGTTGTATTAAACACTTGCACCTTAATCACACGATGATCTTTTAATCTTCCTTCCAAGACCAGGCTCATCCTCTCTGCCACTGAGCTAAGATGCTTTTAGGATTTTAACTGAGTTGCGTAGAACAAGGGTTCCTCACTTAAATTCCCCAAGATATTCTCCTGGGAAGTTCGTACAAGCTGCAAAAGAGAGGCAACGTGATGACTTTTTTCCTCCCTTGGGAATGAAGTGCATTGAGGAAGGTGCAGTCCTGAGCTGGGAGCAGCGTGGTTTGTTTCCGTCAACATCTGCCCGTGCCAGGTGGGGCCAGGCACTGTTAGATCCTGAACAAAACTCCCTCCCCAAAATGGTACCTAGTAAAGGGTTCCACCTATTTCAAACTCTAGAAAATGCAGTCTCATCTTGGGTGGCAGCCAGACATGCACACACCTCTGTGCAGGATGACAATGTCAAAAAAAAGGACAGGACAGTTGGGTGG